AAGCGCCGTGGCGCCCAACGAGCAACTAACTGTGAAAGGCCCAGGAGACCGGGCCGGGGGCTTTCTTAGATGCAGGGGGAGGGGGGTAACAGCTATTTAACAAGATATTTTTCATTTTAAATTATATATTTATTTTAGATAAACTGTACATAGTATTTATATTTATTAGAGGTCTGGCCCTGCAACCCTCATGTAGGACAAGACAAGGTCAGACCTCCCTTATTTTTTAAGTGCAATGTAATATTCTAATAAATAACACTTTGTTACGAACATTCAGGCTGTTAAATGAATTTAATGGTGGGGGTGGGTGGGAGTTGTGTCTCTGCAAATGGTAACAACAGGCCTTCCTTAGTGAGATATCTCAATATTTTTGAGGAACCTCTGTTCAACAGTGCTATAAGCCCGAAACAAGCTGTGGAGGCTGCTGGACCGGCCAGGGTCTTCCCTGCAAGCGCTGCTTCAGGCTGGCTCAGGTCTGGTGCCCAGCAGGCAGTATAAATAACTCCCAACCTGCTCGTGTTTCCTCTTCCGAGAGCTTCCCCCGGGGAGCCAAGACTGGTGTGAGCTGACGGCTCTAGCACAGAGCCTCAAAGCGGGGAAAACTGGCTGCTTCCCTGCAGGAAATCTGCTTTCCTCCAGCCGGTTTCACTCTAGTAGATGTCAAGCTCTGCTGGCACTTTCCACTCATGTTCCGACAACTTGCCCTGGAGCAGGGGAAGTGAGTAGTCTGCAGAGCTTTTTGGACTAATTTGGCCAAAATTTAGCTCTGGCAAGGCATAAAATAAGCCTTACAGTCCTTGGATGCCTGCAGGAGGGGGTGCTTAGGAAGTGAGCTTATTAGCTCATTCCTCTAGAGCAGTCAGCAAGTTTTAATGCAGCAAAACCTGGGGCGTGGGAAGGGGAATGAAGCAATGGCTTGGCGCTTCCCAAGATAGCTGCCCTGAAGCACGGGGCCACAGCAGAAGGGAAGCCTGGGGGGAATGAGAGGGAATCCGCATCTTATCACCTGGAGAGCAAAAGCTTTGCGCTGCTGTGGGGACCCAAATCCCAGCGCTGAGAAAGCGTTGGGTGAGCCCCAGAGCACGGTGCTGCGGGGAGGCTGCCTGAACTGGCCGCTCTGAACTTCGGACCTCTGGAATATTTGTTAAGCAAACAGCGTCCGCGCGGCGCTTCCCAAGATAGCTGCCCTGAAGCACGGGGCCACAGCAGAAGGGAAGCCTGGGGGGAATGAGAGGGAATCCGCATCTTATCACCTGGAGAGCACAAGCTTTGCGCTGCTGCGGGGACCCAAATCCCAGCGCTGAGAAAGCGTTGGGTGAGCCCCAGAGCACGGTGCTGTGGGGAGGCTGCCTGAACTGGCCGCTCTGAACTTCGGACCTCTGGAATATTTGTTAAGCAAACAGTGTCCGCGCTTGCAGCCCCGCAGGCCAGGCCCCCGCGCTGCTGCTGCCGCTGCCGCGGGGCTGTTGGCTCTGCAGAGCTGGGGGCTCCACGCTGGCCTCCTGACGTCCTTCCTGCCTTTCCTCAGAGCCAGCTCTGCTTGCCCTAGGGCTCTGTCCCTCCACACACTGGAAATAGCTGCATAGGAGGTTGGTTCTGTGGACAGCTGGCGGTTTTATGCATACTTTTTGCTCTGACTGGGAGGCTTGGGAGTGAGGGCGAGAGCCTTCGCAAAGCATAGCGAGGAGCTGGCTGGATCCATGAGGTAGCAGCTCCTGCTTGTGCAGGCTGGGAAAGGAGGCAATGTCTTCTCCTGCAGCGCAAGGAAGGTGCGATGCCCACCAAGGGGCCCACAGGAGCTTCTGCCTCCTCAGGTGCGGAGCCAGGAGCAGAAAGAGAGGGAAAAAAAATCCCCCTTGCATGTCCCTGGCACTTCCCAGCTCTCGACCTGTCAGGCCCGTACGCCTAAGCCGCTGACTCCCGCTCCAGCTCCCTGCTGTGACCTCTTCTCCTTCGCAAAGGGCACAGCCCTCCCCAGAATGACACTCAGAGCTGAGAGACCTCCAAAATACCAACTTGAGATTTAATTAAATTTAAATGTTTAACTCAATTTCTTCCCCTGCCCCAGCGCTTGCTCTCAGCCCCACTTTCAGCCATTGCAGCATGACCGTGTCTGGATGCGAGGGGACATCATGACCAGGATGAGGGAAGATGCTGCGGCCGTGCAGGGAAACGTTGGGACATGCCACCCCCCGCCCAGGGCATGAGGTGATGCTCCAAAATTCATGGAGCCATCTCCACTGCCTTTCTCTGAAAACAGATGGCAGCAGCCCTGCAAGCAATCCTGTTCAGCTAATTTTCTTCCTGACTGATGTTTTTGGCCTTGATCTGCTCCTCACCCAACCAGGCTCACCCTGAGCTGGAGATGGGCTTTGCCAGAGCGTGTGACGAGCCACGCTGCCATGTGGTATCTCCCATGGGCTCGCTGCTGCAGCGGGAAGGGAGGCACAAGCCCCCTTGCTTGGCGTGGGCACAGCACAGGCTCTCGCCGCACCTCGTGCCAGCCCTCGTGTCACTGCCTGCTTTCTAGTGAAGCTCGTCCAGGATCCAGGTGCAACTGCTTGTCTCAGGACTTCGCAGATCCACTCTTCCTCAGGGCCACAGGGATGCTCACACCTGACCAAGGCGTGTTACTGTGATGTGCCCCTGGTGAGAGGCTGCTCAGGTTGTGCCCTGCTCCAGCACGGATTGCTCTTTCGCCTGGGTCCGCCTGGAGATATTTCCACACTCGGCCTGGTCAGACTCCCCTCCCATGATATTGTCCCTCCTGACATACCTTCATGTCAGTGGTGGCTTCCAGCTTATCCCCCCGTGCTGAATGGCTGCACGCTGAGGGGCAGCAGGAGGCTCCTTGGGTGACAGGCGCAGGTGGCGGCTGCAGGTGCCCCGTGTGTGAGCGCCGCCGGCAGCAGCGCTGGCAGCACCAGGGGCACGTGGCTGCGACCCCTCCGAAGAGCTCGGAGAAGGGCAGAGCAGCTCCTGGGAGGACAGCAGCGGGCCCCAGGCTTCACGTCTCCCGCGGCACACACGAAGCAGGGAAGCCGGTCGCAGTGCGGCGGCACCGGCCCTGCTCCGCTCGCGTCACCACCCCAGCCGGGCACCATTGTTCACTCCTGCCTCCTCTGGGCCTTTGTGCTATAAACTGCTGCTGACTCAGGCCGAGCACGTCCGTGCTCCCCCCAGGAGGCCAGGCCACCCTTGGATAGAGTTGGTTGCTGCAACTTTTCCTGCTATTCACGCTATTCCTTTTCTCTGCAGGAAGTTGGATATGCCGGGAGCTGCAGGGCAGAGCAGTGGGAGGAACTGGGTTCCAACAGCCACCAGGGCCTCCATAGCTGGAGGTCTCAGGCAGGGGGATCAAAGAGAAACATCTCCACTGCATCCAAGGGTTGGGGTTGAACCTGCTCAGAGCCCATGCGGCTGCTCAGTGCACAGGACGGGATCCTCATCAGTGGCTGCAGTATGGACCCTTGTCCCTAAAGGTTGGATCTTGCACTCTGCTTTGAACAAAGAGGTTCCCTCTTGTCTGCCTCTACTGAATAGCACAAGGGTATTTTAATTTTGCCGCACTCCCCCCCATGGCTTCTCATCGCCTCACCATGACCTCACTCCTTCTCCCAGCCCCGCTGGGCAAACTGCAAGGAAAACTCTGGGGCTGGCAGGAGTGATGGTGATTCCTGAGCGGTGCCGGTGGGGCTGAGTCAGGCAGCCCAGGCCAGGGGTCTCCGGGCAGCTGGGACAGTTTCCCTGCAGGAGGCACCTCGCTGCTGTCCGGAGCGGATTCCCCGGCGCCTCGCGGCACAGCCGCAGCACGGGGCTGCCCGTAACGCCCCAGGCCAGTGCACGCTGCTCCTCAGCCTCCCCCACAGCTTTTAAATGGATTCCAGGCCGCGGGGCACTCTTCGTCCCGGGCTGCCCTGTGCCCTTACGTGCCTCCCACTTTCGCTGCTGAAGCAGCTACATTTCTGCGGGGGTGAAGCGCGCCAGCCCTTCCCCCTCGCAGTGTCTCAGCGCCTGTCGGGACGAGAGGGCTGCGTCCCACTGCCAGGTATTATTAATAACACAGCAGTCTGGCTCCGGTTTTAGCTACCGCTACTGCTTTTTGATCGGTGCCTTGTGTTGTCCTGCCTTTGGGATCCTCTCCCAGCTCCGGGGGCCCTTCCTGCTCTCTGCATTCCCCGCCGTGGCTGCTGCCATGCAGGAGCTGGGCAGGACTGGCGCCGGCTCGCTCCCCGAGGCTTTGCAGGTGGCTCCACGCCACCGTTCTGCACCAAAGGACGATGCTGCAGCTCCCCGTTTAACCAAACACTTCACTTGGCGCTGCATGCCCAGTGCCAGGTTGGCACCCTGAGCCGCACCGGGTACCGCACCGGGTACCGCGCCAGGCCCTGGCGGCAGCTCCCACGACGGGGACGCGCCCCGCACCCCCGCGCCCAACACCCCCTCCGCGCATGCGCACCGCCGCGCCCGCGCTCACCCCGCCTCTCCGCGCAGGCGCCCTGGCCAGGCAAGATGGCGGCGCCCGTGGACCTGGAGCTGAAGAAGGTAGCGGCGCCCCGCGCCCCGGCTGGGCCCGCGGGATGTGGGGTGCAGGACGTGGCCCCCGGCGCCCCGTGCGCGCCTTGCTGCTGGGCGGCCCCTGAGTGCGGCCGCTGTCGCCCCGCAGGCGTTCGCGGAGCTGCAGGCCAAGGTGGCGGACACGCAGCAGAAGGTGAAGCTGGCCGACCTGCAGATCGAGCAGCTGGGCAGGAGCAGGAAGCACGCGCACCTCACCGACACCGAGATCATGGCGCTGCTGGACGGGACCCGCATGTACGAGGGTGTGGGCAGGATGTGAGTACCAGCCGCGGCGCCGCTTCGGGACGCGGCCACGGGACGCGGCTCCAGGGCAGCCCTGCCCGCGGGCAGCCCTGCTCTGCCTCGGCACCCCGGGAGCCTCAGTGCTGCCTCGTGTCTGTCCTGGGAAGGGGATGCCGCCTTGCTCTCATCACGTTCGCTCTTTTCAGTTTGTATCCCTGTTTGCGTTTGTTGTTCCAGTGATCTTGCTGGGATGTGCCCTTCTGGCCAGCAAGGCCAATGGGCTCCCAGCTGCACCAGGAGGAGCATTGCCAGCAGGGCGAGGGAGGGGATCCTGCCCCTCTGCTCAGCTCTGGGGAAGCCGCGCCGGGAATATTGGGGCAGTTCCGGGCTCCCCAGGACATCCCCAGATGTGGAATGGCTAGAGAAGGGCCAGTGCAGAGTGACAAAGATGATGAAGGGACAGGAGCATCTATCGTGTGAGGAAACACTAAGCAAGCTGGGCCTGTTTAGGCTGGAGAAGAGAAGGCTGAGAGGAGATCTGATCAATATGTACAAGTACCTTGGGACTGAATGTGGGAGGATGGGGCCAGGCTCTTCTCTGTGGTGGCCAGTGACAGGACAAGGGGTAATGGATACAAGTTGAAACCCGAGCGGTTCCATCTCCATGTGAGGAAGAACTTCTTTCCTGTGAGGGGGCCGGAGCCCTGGCACAGGCTGCTCAGAGTCGCTGTGGGGCTCCTTCTCTGGAGATCTTCTAAACCCACCTGGACGCAACTGGGTGCCCCGTGCTCTAGGTGTCCCTGCTGGAGCAGGGGTTTGGACTAGGTGATCTCTAGAGGTCGCTGCCAACCTCAACCCTTCTGGAGTTCTGTGAATTCAGGGAGGCCCCTGGGACTTCATCTTTTGGGATCAGGTGCCAGCAGCCTTTGAGAAGGGCTGCTGCAGTTTTCATTGCCTCTTTATGTGCTTATGCTTGCTGGCTTTGCTCTCAGTCTTTGTGGTCATCTTTGATCTGTCTGGGCCTTTTGTAGGCTGGATTAGTGGAACAGGGTTCTCTCAACAAACTGCCTACATTTGCAAGAAGACTGTTACAAACCTGCCCAGCCATTTGTGAAGGAACAATACACCATTCCGAGTGCAATTTATGTCTAAAACCCACAAAAACCTATGCCCTTATGCAGTGTATGTGCTCAGGGCTTTGCTTGCACAAGTGTTCTGCAGAAATGGGCCTTGCTTACCGTGTCTGTGAGTGTGATGGCTTGGGTTGCCCAGGCTCTTTAACGAGTGTGATGCTCATTTGCAGTTCTAGTCCATCTGTGAAAAAAAATAGAAGAATTTTGTTGTATTGGATGGTTCTCAAAACACCTTAGACCAGGATTGGTGTGGTGTTTGGCTCCAGCAGCCTGTAGCTGCTCTAGCCTGTTTGGCTTCAGCAGCTCCTAGAGAAGACCCCACAAAGGGCTTTCAGAGCTGATGGTGCCTGCTGGCCACGTGGACCTCGCGTTACCTTTCTGCAAGACTCTGATTTTCTGCTGTGTCGTGAGATGGGGAACAGCGATGACTGTGCTTAGCTTGGATGTGGTTTCGGGAAATACTGAATCGGAGGCAGCCGCTGCCCAAAGAGGTGGTTGTGGCCACGTCTTCCCCACTGCATTTCCCCCACCTCGTCTGTGGTGGAGGGGTGACCGCACAGCCGTGCAGTGACTTTGCTCAGCTTGCTGATTCAGGGGGCAATTAATTCACCAAAAATGTCCTGGTCTGCCTTCCATCTGCCCACACAATCTCCAGACTCAGTCTCTGGGAGCTGTGGGTTGGTTTTCAGATGAGACCAATGGAAAAAACGAAGTGACCTGCAGGCTTGCAGAGGCCTTCAGCACAGCATGTCCTTCGGCCCGGCATTGTGTGGCTCCCGGGATACAAATTTGCATGCTGTTGAATTAGATGTTAGCTCTATATGGGGTGTTAGCAACTGCTACCTCCAAAAGAAACAGGTTTTGTCCTCTTTCAAGAGGTGGCCTGATTTGGTTTGGTTCTGCTTTCATTTACTTATTTGCATTTGCATTCACTTCTAAGTATATTTTACTTATTGTGTATTTGGAGAGTCACAGAGCAGACAAACTAGGAGCAGAAGATAATTCTGGAAGTTTAGCAATGTATTTTTTTTTTTTTATCTTAAGCTAAGTACTTCTATATGGAGAAATCTCCCAAGATCCTTTAAAGGAGTTTATCAATCTTTAAGATAAATTAAGGTAGTTTTGCTCACAAGCGACACGTGCGTGGCAAATGGTATCGGTTCCTCTGCTAGCTGGAGCCCGTCGTGCTGCCTTCTGTTTCTCCTCCGCTGCGGAGCCACCTTCCTCCTCTGCTTCCTGAACGCTGACCCGTCCGTGCGCCGCAGCTCCGCGCTGCCTGTCCCTTGGGAGCTGCGTGTTGCTCCTGGCAGACGGGGTGGCCTGGGCCCTGCTGGGCAGCCTTCCTGCCTCGGCAGTGGAAGGGAGCTCTCCGAGGAGTATTTGTCTTACAACAGTGTCTAACGGCTTCATAGATTTTGTTGTGTCCATCACTGTGCAAATGCAGATTAAGTGTTCTTGCTCTAGACCCTGTTCTTTGTTGAGGGATGCCCCTCTTGCTGTGGTGGTGTTTGAGTTCTACTCGTTCTGCCCATGGGCCTGAGGGCTGCCTTGCAGATTGCTGTTAGGTGCTGGCGAGTCGCCCCGGTGGTGGTAGCCTGGGGTGTGTTCCCGGGGGCAGCGTTACTTTCCCTGCACTCAGACACTCTGATCTCCGTGGAAGTGAAGGGACGGAGGAAGCGTGTGCTGTTTGCTGGGGGTGCTGCTCACATCCGCACCGCACGGACGGCCACTCCAAGCGTCCTGCCCTCCGTACCCTGAGCCCGGCTCCTTTCCGAGGAGCCTTCTCTGCCCCACGGGGGAATGTGAGAGTCCCTCCGTCACCCCCGTTCTTGTTCCTTCTGCCTCGTAGTGTGTGTAACACAAAGCAACCCAGCTTCGCTGGCCTCCACATGCTCAGTTTACTTTTACTCCAGCTATTTTGGGCTCAACGTAAGAAATGTCAGTGCCTCATAGCACGGGACGCCCAATTGCTGTGCACTGTACGTACGGGAGGTGCTGGGATAGCATCCGAGTGGTGGCATCTTGCCAGATACATTTCAGTTCTGTTACTTCATACCCTTTTGAAAGGTCTGTTACGTAGCCTGAGACAACTATGCTGCAGCCTGAGACGCTGTGTTGGGCTCGTGCTGCCCAAGCTGTCTGTGAACTGATATCATCCCATTGCTTTGGGAACTATGCTGAAAGTTTAAGCTTCAGAATTCTGTCTGAATATTTGAGACCTTTCTTTTTACGTTCTTCTAACCTGTAAATAACTGTCTTGTCCAGGTTGGGGAAGAGAACACGAGACACTAGACAGAGTGAGAAGAGCACTGGGATGCCAAAGTGGGTACTGAGTTTTGAGTTGATACTGCTTTATCATCAGTTTAATTCTGCAACCAAGGGAAAAATGCTTAAGGAAATGAGGCTGAAAAGTAAAAACCAAGCAAATAGTATAGGACAACTTCATTCTCAAGGTTTTCTGTGAGGACAGTTGTATTAATCTGATTTTGACAAGTTATTTTAAGAGCAGATTTAAACGTGTTTCTGATTTTAGTGTGGCTCTTGGTTTTGTTTGAAAACGAGACCAAATAATTCAGTGCAAGCTCACGCTCTGCAATCACGATTCCCAGCGACACTCTTGCCATGCTCCTCTTCTTTACACAGCTGCAGTGGTTGCGAGGCAGGATTTCAATGAGGAGGGTGGCTCTTGGATCCTCCCGGCACAACCCGTGGGTGCTGCCCCGGCTTCCCGCTCCCGTCGCAGCTCTCCCCAAACCCGCAGGGCCTGCGAGGCTCCGCAGTGCCGCCTGAGCAGCCCTCGGCACCCGCTGCCAGGGCCCAGCTCCGCATGGAGCCCGGCTGCCCGCGCTGGGGCTCGGAGTGAACCCCAGAACAAGCGCGCTGACAGCAGCCCCTCGTGGTCAGTGCGTAGGGAGTAAACGTGAAGCTCCCCGTTCTTGCTGCTGGCAAAAGTGATGCTTTTCAGCGAGCGTTTGGGGTTGCAGGGTCTCCTCTGGAAGGTGAGATGGCTCACACGTAGGTGCGGAAGGTGACCAGGCAGGTGTCTTTAACGTGAGTAGTGTGGGAGCAGTTGCCATCCTTTCACTGGCCAATCTGTGTTTTGAGAGAGCAAATACAGGATTTGCCAGTGGGCTGTAGTTAGCTGAAAACAGTGGGATATTGGGAGTCTTGACTGCCTAGTTCTGTGTCAGGCTCAGAAAAGGAGCTTGTTGTGGTGGGCACAGACTCCGTTCCAAGTTCATCTACTCTGCTTTCCCACATACACTTGTTTCCCTGCTCCCACACTCACACTTACATCTTATCCCTACCCTCCTGGGCTGCTTGATTGGAATCTCTTGGATATCCTGGTCCAGTTATAGCTTCCTGCCCTACCAGCCTGAATAGTTTCTCCATGAAGTATTTGCTTTTCAGAGAAGAAGAGATTGCCGTGGCAATCTGAAACTTAATATACAAGCTGAATATGTGCCTAGTTCTTGGAAATAACCTGTGTTTCTTTAAAAAAAAGTCAGCTTTAGCCAGAGAGCTGGCATCAAATGGGCACCTCCAGCCAATGTTGATTGAATGTATAAACAGCAGAAAAAAAAGCCTTACAGTGGGAAATAATAGTTAATAGGAAAAATGGGAGAATAGGTGCTTTTACTCAGCCTGACTTAAAATAAATGTGTGGGTTCAACACTGCTGCCCACTTCTTGTGCGTTGTGATAGGAGCTGCTGAATCACCTGCTGCTCTTCTCATGCTTGTCCATCTCGCCAGGGCCGCTTAGCTCTTCAGGAACATATTCCTGTGGGTTTGGGGATGCCGTGCCAATGCCCCTTGCTCTGTGCATCGCTGCCTTCCTTGTCGCAGAGGAGACGCCGGAGAAGGAACTAGCTGAGTAAACGGTTAAAATAACAACCAAG